GCAGAAAAAGATCCTATGTTTATTTTTATTTATAATAGAAATAAAGTATCTGATAAGTAAGTTCTATTAATCTATATTTCTTGTTTTCTTTTTAATTATATTATTCAAATCCCTGATTCCATTATATTATATTATATTTATTATAATAATATCTTCTTTGATGTGACCAAAAGGGTATAAACAGGACTCCGATTGCGTACTTAGAATCTACAAGTGAAGAGCTATGTAGGATGCTAAAAGGAGGACTATATATACAGGTATTGGGAGCCATAAGGGCTAGGCCAAAAAGGGTGAAAGAGACCTAGAGATAAGCATCGTACGATGCCTAGGTCTAGAGCTGTAGAGCTAGAGCTCTAAGCTGTGAAACGAAGGTCCAAAAGAGCCGTCATATCATACTACGTATGTAGTATGAGCCAGTGGGCGGAAGAGAGCCGTCTGTTCCGTCACATATCTTTATAAATGTAATATAAAGTTCCAATATCAAATTTAAATCTATATCAGATATTATAGTTATATACTACGGAAATACAATAATATAATTTTCTCAAAAGTAAAGATTGATATTGCAAAGTATAATAAAAGCTGAGATAATTATAATAAACGAAGGGGCAAAGGAGACTACTTGGATAAAGAAATTTGTTATAGATCTAAGAAAAGAATCGAAATAGATCCTTTTACTTTTTTTACTTTTTTTATAATAACAAAGATAGTATTGATTAGATATAAAAGAATAAGTTTTATATCAAAACCAGGTATATCACTATCCACTGGCATTATATTCGCAACAATATAGTTAATAACAACAAACTTCGAATTCTATAGATTTCTGGGACAAACCAGATAATAGATATATTAATAAAGGCTTTGTTTATACCAAAATTCAAGCAATATTTAAAGGGTTTAAGACTAATTACTTAAGATTAATTTAAATGAAATAACTTTATTCATCTAACAAAATTACAAATATTATTTACAAACTACTTTTCTCAGAATAGGATATCAAAAAAGTACTTTTTGACTAAGGAAACAGAAAACCTTAAAGGAATTAGGGTACTCTTGTATTGCAATATACTTATTATAAGATAATTGAATTTTATCAGAAATTAGATATTATAATATTATTTGCTGTTGCAAGAGTTAATGAAATCCTAGAGTTTAGTTGAGAATAGAACTCAGGTATATAGTCTGATAGTATTTCGTAATTAGTTATTCTAACCAATAGGGGGATATTGGAAATACAGTCTAGGTTTATATAAGGTTACATAATACAGTTCATGTGATATCGTTTATATACATGTGTTTCATGTATTTATACATATATCCAATCCTATTAGAATACCTATAAGGATATACACATACAATATTACTACTGTTATACCTATTATGATCTTAGTGATATTCCAACAATTATACATGTACCAGCGACACACCAAGACAAATTTAGAATCTCATAGGTATATTGAAGCTCAGTCTGGTCGGAAACGGATAAGGATCTTGTAAATATAAATTTTAGGACGAATGATTACAAATGTTTGTAGCGGCAAGAACAAGTACGCATTGTTTGGGTTTTGAGTATTGGCTCTTGGGTGATTTGAATGATTTGAATGAATGAATCTATACTGACTTGCTATATGTCGGTTGCTGGTTAATTGCTAGTTGTCTGTTTGTCTGTTTGTGTAAACTGTACTATACTTAATATCTATGTATACAGTTGAATACATATATATATATACTAGGAAGTAGCCGAAATCGATGTTTGTATCGACGTGAATATGTATTTGAAGATGGGTCTTTGGGACGGCAAAACGGTACGGAACAGTACGGAATGTAAGCAAGCAGTTTGCGATTGGGATTGGGATTACTGGAGGTCCTTGTTGAAGTGTTGAGATGTTGATATGTTGATAATGAAAGCATCTTCCGCCAAATACTCCCAGGATTTTTAGGGATTCTTATTCACTTGCGTACTCACTCGAGGAGGTAGGTATATGTTTTAACAAGCCATGATATATTCTACTCGCAGAATACCTATTTCTTGTCTGGTTTGGATTGGTATTGTGTAGAATTCTCTATCGAATCTGAATAGGGAAGGGTATAGGTGAACCTTTTGTATCTTATATTGAGTGAGACGATATATGAGTCAGGATTCTCGTTGCGCGCATTTGAAGGTGCCTGTTTATGTGATTACTCATACGGCAATGATGTTGGAGCTTCTCAAAGAGATTGTGATTAGAATGAGGAGTATCTGAGTAGAGGCTTGGCTGGGACGATATGATGGTCTGAACGGGGTGAAGATAGAAAGAGGAAAGAGGAAAGGGGGAAGAAGAAGGGTTTTGGTAAGGAGATAGAAGATGGAAGATATAAGGGGTGAGGGGCGAGGAAGCTGGAGTGGTATTTAAATAAATAGCGGAGAAGCTAAGAGGAGTAGAAGGCTTGTAATCTGGACTTTGAATAACGAATTTTCTAACATGAAGGGCTAGTAATGCAGTAAGTGTTAATTTGTATCCCATTCAAGTCACAGTAAGCGGGTATCGAGCTACTAATGATTGAAATTCTTTTCAAACCCCGAAAGAATAGTTTGCGCGAATATTATTGGCGCGGTTAATTAGGGGATTAAATAGTTATTTGTTAAATCAATGACCACAAGTTTGGTAATGCCAACCTTCCGGCGATCAAAGTCTAGTCTGTGTTTGTCTATATACATCTAAGTGCATGGTAATCTTGAAGACATTGCTCCATGGGTGTTCAATCTGATTGTATTCTTTCTAGATAGAGAGCGAAGACTGATATAATTCGATGGGAAAATTCAATAATTAATATATCCTCTTCGTTCCCGCCAATATATAGCTCACTACACCTCAATCTGGAATCTAGATCATGATTTACACTCTTGTGAATAAGACAAGACCCTCATCAAAATCTATGCAGCTCTCATCTGATGACCAGAAATCTTAACTTCGAGAGAGATGTGACGTTCTATTCCTCAGTACCATCCCGTCTTCGAGAGCCAGAACTTCAACTATCCTACTTAGTGCGTCTAGGGACTGCTCCTTAAGTCGATATAGCGAGTCCTTCCCCTGAACTAAAGAACGGGTGAAGCATGGACGGAAAAGTATAGATTGGGATTGGGATTGTGATTGGGACCTTGTGTAGCAGTTTCGAGCTAGTTTTGCAGAAGAGTCACGGTCCTGGAGTTGAGGTATCAGGCGGGATGAGTGGGCACTTTTAGAATGTAGAATATATACAATTCCAAAAGCGAAGACAAGAATGAGGCTCCTAGTATTGAGATATTAACTTTCGTTCTTCTTTTGTGATTGGTGAACACTCAACTAAGCACAATTAATGTGAGGGGAATCTATTGGTGAGCATACTCACGGATATAATGATATTTTGGTGAAATCCGATCTGCTTATCAAAGTTCTCCACGATTGCTTTATAATCAATATAGGAAAGGTAATGTAATGGTAAATACTCGTGATTATCATGACAACTCCCACATCTAACTTCGTTCCCGAGTTGGAAAATCCAGTTCTTTCCGCTCTTAGCCATTCATAAACACCATATCCCGTATTGAACTTCCCATATCTCTGGGACGGAGTTGATGTTGATGCCCAAAGATAACGAGATATGTTTTCACCAGTATTTCTGCGAGTTATTTCACAGGATTTCCGGCTTCTTGAACGAAATGGTTCAGAACTCTCCTATACAGTATCATTTCCGCAGTGTTTACACATCAACCCTAATCACATTCTACATTCTCGTTTCCACAATAGCTGTACATCTTCATTACTTCAATATCTCGTTATCTTTATTACCAGTCAGTCTATAGCAGACGTAAAAAACACAGGATTCGCTCAGCATGTTCTGGAATCTAGATCCAGATCTGCGATTAAGCAGTCAGATAGTAAAGTGTTGTAGCTGTTGGTGTCGATGAAGGGTCACCGTTTGTTCTACTTAATGAGATGCTTGGACTCGGATCTGCAAAGAGTGAGGAATGGGATGTTGATTAGATATGGTACCGGTAGTCGATCTGTGGTGGTTTGGAGCTCAGGCTTCTAGATCTATCTATTCGTACTCCGTATATCGATTGTAACCGGCACGAATTTATAGTTAATGCGGAGAGATATCTTGACAGTGTCAATCTACCGGTATTTGAAGCATGGAGGAGTGAGCAAATATCCAGAACAAAGTACGAGCACGAAACCTTATTGGGTATGAACATGAGTCCGAGACCGAGAGCTTTCATGGGAGAGATACTGAGGGATCCAATCAATACTCCCTTTAAATTCACTACTTTTGATGGCCCGATATAATTTTCCAAAAGACTTTTGAACTAGGTTGGCGTCATACTCAAGTACTTTGACTTATTATTACTCATCCCTCAGATGAAGGGGTGTTTGATATAAGACTACAAAATCTATAAATATGTATAACCTTAGTACTGACTGATGTATTAGTCATATTCGTATTACGAAGAAGATTCTGAAAATAACGTAAGATATTACAAATATTCATTTTTCTGGTTTCTATTAACGCAAGGATCTAAATATATATAGAGCCCTCTTTCTTCATTACAGCTTCCGGGGAGCGGAGAGATGGATTTTCTTTTTCTGGAATGGATTCAGGATTCCCTGCTGCTGTTTACTATACATGTAATGTAAAATTCTACTAAGCGTACTCGAGTATTGAGAGGGTATAATGCACCTTTCCTGCCTATCCACCATGACCCCTGAGAAAGAAAAGTCCTTACAGAACCAAAAACAACAAGCCCAAAACATCATCGCCATGAACCGCATAAGCTCAATATATCACCAACATCCCTCACTCCATCCTCAAACATCCTCACCAAAATCTAATTTCCCTCCTCCCCCTCCCCCTCTTCCTCCTACACATCACCATCACAAGGATCCCTCAAAAACTCCACCCTCCACCCCCTCAACTCACCATCCTCCATAATCGCCTCCCAAACAACCTCAGCCTGTTTCCCAAAACTGCCAAACTCAATCATGACCTCACACTCCGTCCCTACAATCATTTCCCGTTGATGAATAATATCGATCCAGCAGCAACCCTTAGCATATCGGATAAATGTCCTCAGATTAAAACTAGAAGCTGGACCTGTCACCTTGAGTACTCTCGATACGCCTTGAAGTCCGCATGGGCCTACACGGTGCGGACTCCAGGTAGCTAGGATACGCTTATTTCGGATCAGGATATTGTTGTTTTGGGTCGTTGAGATGTATTTCTGTGCGCCGTCTCGCGTCATGAAGATGAGTTTTACAATTGATAATCGATTCTCGGCGTGAGCTCGGCTGTATGAGTAGATGGCGCCAGTGCGGATGGTATCGAAGATCTCTTGGTTCCTGACATTTTGGTCGAATTTGAGTTGAACAGAGCAGTTCATGTGTTCGGGGACCAGGGGATTTGTGGCAGGTGGGAAGTTGATGTTTGGAGGAAAATTTGAGCCAGTGGCAGCCTGAGTATCTAGCAGGCGCTTATCTGCAGAAATTCGACGGACGTCTTGCATTCCAGTAACGGTGCTGCCGGTAGATGAGTTTTTGGCATGATGACTGCCTCCTAGGTTCGGATGAACTTCTGTTTTGGCAAGCGATAAGTCTGGAATCGAATATGATGGAGAAGTCGCATACATCTGTGCCTGTTGCACAGTATTTTAATTAATACTATTACGATTTCTATCGACATTATACTCCATAGGCAAGCCTTGAAACCGCTGGCCTCTAGCAGGTACCTCTCGACATGGAAGTGCAGGACAAAAGCCAACCATATTATTGGTGTCTTCAGCCGGAGCAATGAGAACAGTCTATGGATAGATAGCGGTGAGAAATGCTTGTTCTCCGAAGGCTAGTGTTCGAGGTCGAAACATGCTGGATGCATCTACAGAATCGACTTCGGGATTAAATCGAGGATAATCTTTATTGTTCCGAGAATCGAACATTGTTTCAAGCTCTGGTCGATATCTTCGAGCTGTTTGGCGAGCCCCGTGTAGCCAGACTAATTCAAGGTAGTGGGCCCAAGATACCTTTTCGTCGTCGGTGACTGTGTTGATATCTATTTGTGTCAGCTTTTTACAAATCAACCTTGCTGATGACAATGAGCTTACTAAAGGTATTGATTTTTTCCCTAAAGCACTCAAGATATTCCTCGTACAATTCCTCTCCTATTGTTATATTAGTCGATCGAGACTCTGATAGTTAAGTGGGCAGGCAGCAATGTCGTACTTGATCTGGCTGGGCTACCACTACCATCTTCACAGATAACAAACTTCGAAATAGACCATGTTTCTGTTTAAGTTAGTAATTGAAATACATGGCTTTGTGTGAGCATATCCTTACTTCCTCTTCTGTCTAGAAGCTGGATGGTGTTGTTCTTGATGCCAACAGCGAGGTGTAATTCTTCATCTTGGGAAGACCTAGCTATTCTGAAGCAGGTCATATTTCTTATTTTATAATGGAAGTTTTAAAAGATTGTTTGTGAGAGGTTGTATAGTGATGTGCAGAGTTGGAGATGGATTCAAAGTTTCTTAAGTTTGAGTGGTGAATTTTGAAAGAAGTCACTAGTGGAAGTTGGAAGCTTTGTGTAGGAACAAGGTTGTGAAAAGGTGGAGGTCCGGATAGAAGGAATTGTCTTTAAGTACTGACATATTGCTACGGCACATTCTGGTACAGTCTGACTCACCAAATATCTAGAAAGTCACATATTGAGAAGCGAGCCGAGAAACCTACCAGCTTAGTTGCCTAAGTGACGAAATGAGCGTATACAAACCTAAAAGCCATTATACTGTAGTGAAAAGGACGGCATCTTGCGATCATATGACCGACGTAGATCTCAATACTGTTGAGAAAGGCAAAGATATATGGAACGAAGTTTCAGAGGGAAGTAAACTTTCGTGACCAGGCAGCAGAGTCATTGTGTAGCAACTCCATCTCGAAATCGTGGCAAACGAAAGCCTTATTGATATGGCATATAAATCATATAACCTTGCAAAATGGATTCAGGATGTAACATATGAGAAGATGAGAGGATTGGTTGCAGTCATATATATGGTATCTCATAGTCGACTCACCAAAAACCGACAACTACACAGGCATATTAGTTTGATATAGAAACATAACTTCACTCATGATTGTTATCAATTCGCAGGTGAGCTCACTCGCATGAGAGCTACCCAAGTGACCTTGCACAGAGACAATCTCGTAATGCATACCATAGTCGAAAAACATGAGAGACTTCCAACTTGCCTCCAGCCAGAATTAACAAGCTGTGGATAGCAAAGAACCTTACGTCATACGCGTCCACCAATTTCGTACGTGGTGTGAGAAGGAAATGCATAATGGAGAGATATATTATTGACATGGCATATTATTGTTCATGAATATTTTGAAATAAGCCAAGTTCTTCAAACATTAGCTGCAAGATATTTTCAAGCAAACTTAGAATTCAGGAAACTCCTCCAATGGTCAACTGAATGACTTAAATGATTTTCTATGTTTCAGTTTGAGGAGCAAGAAGAACAGGATAATTTAGTTCCAGTGATGCTTTGGGGTTATTCATCAAAGGGACGAAATCCACGACAAGTGAGGTTTTGACAGCGAATACAGAGTCATTCTCGAGATATTCGTCTTTCGAGTCGAAGATTTGAGTTGTGAGAGGTTTGTAATGATCGTGTTGGACCTGTAGATTGGATGTTAGTATGAGGCACAGGTCAATTTCTGAGAGGAAAGCTAGCACTTACGATCAGATGAATATGTGCAGGTCGGAAAGAATGTCTGTCTAACAACTGTAGGATTTTGCCAGCAGGACCTGGGATAGTTAGCTTGGTTTTTCTAAAGTGACAGATGACATACCATCAGAAGGAACAGGATAAGGAGTAGGTTTCAAGCAATAAAATCCATAATGCCCGTTCTCATCAGTCTTAAATTGTCCTCTTAGATTATGATCCGCCTGCTCATCATCCTGTTGTTCATATAATCCATTCGTTGATGCCTGCCATACATCCACTGTAGCACCAACTATAGGCTTATTGGTCTCATGGTTCGCGACTATTCCATACATGTATATAGTCTCTCCATCATCGACTGCTGTCTGGATTATTGAAGATTCGTTCTCTAGCTTTGGAGCGTCATGTCTGAAGAAAGGTCCGAGAATCGCACTAACGGTGGGTGCATCCACTGCGTCGGCAGCTTTCTTGTAGGTGATTTCGTCCACGAGTCTGCCGGTTCAAAGGTTAGGGGGTAGATCAGTGCCTCCGGGAAAGTAAGAACATACGATTCCAGGCCAATAACATCGCAAACCAGTTGTCCTTCATTTCTCTTATCATCACTCATCCTTCCGGCCTCATTGAGAAGCTCAACTCCTTGCATCCATTCATCCACTGTAAGTTCGACCTCTCGCGCAAAGTCATGGACATGTCTGATGAGGCATCCCATAACATCTTTCATGCGAGGACTAGTCTTGGGCCCCATTGCGTCGATGACATTCTGGGTGAAGTTTGGATCGAATTTGTGCGAGGGTGCCGAACCTGTGTTCTCAGCTGTGCTCGTCATTTTGAATGTGTATGTAGGTGCTCGTTAAACTTCAATGAATCTGTATATACCAAAAATACTGTGCTCATTGCGTAAGATAGTGCTCGATATATATATTTATCGGGCGGGTACTGCACTTCGGCGGATCAAGGCGGCTTTGGATGAACTTCTAACAAACGGCACAGCTTCCTGGTCCACATAGCCCCTAACATTACTAAAAGCTGACAATTGATGAGACAGCAAGTCGCAAATGTTCAAATGTTACAGTTGTTGAGTTTTGGACCCCGCAACACCCACCGTTTGAATCGATTTCCGTATCGAAGGAATTAGTCGTTAGATGCAGCTTGAGAGCTTGAGATGTGAAAGGCCAGGTGCCGGGGTGTGGGGCCGAGCTATCTCGGGGATAAAGGGGTTTAGCCAATAGGAAGCTTGGGATTTGTGAGATTACTAGGAAAAGGAAGCCGTGGACGTCCCCTTAGCTCCCCGATATGTGCACCCCCGCACTACCGAGTTGTACAAATATGACTTTGTAACACTAGAAAGCCTCTCACTTCCTCAGCCAGTAGGGGGTCTTCCTGTTCAAATATATTAATGCCATGGCTATCTTATCAGGAAAAAATACTACGCTTTTGTACATCAATTTAAATAGTCTTCAGATGTAACCCCGCATTCTTGTTATTCAACACACATAAAGGTACAGCAAAA